GATGGATGGATTTGGTAAAATGCTTGAGTTTTCCTGGGATTTTGTTGTTGAATGTGCTTGAATGCTTGAATTTTGCTGGGATTTAGTTGTTGAATGTGCTTGAATGCTTGAGTTTGGTTGGGATTTGTTCCGTGGGAAATAGATTTAGTGAGAAGGGTAAATTTGTAATTTTACTGTTTAAACCAATTTGGGTGTAAAAATGGGTGCCGGTTCATGGGTGTAAGTATCGCTGTCCATAAATTAAATCTGTGTGGGGAAAGAGAAAGGAAGCTAGCTGGTAATATAATTCGATGTGATTGTATACGAAACTTGTTAAGAGAGACAATTAAATGACAAAACAAACCCTACCTCTACCTGCATCCACAGCATGGCAGAGTTGGTTAGGGTGCAACACATCCATGTTTATGATTATGATTCAAATTCCACCCTTCCCTCAATTTTTTATGTTTACAAAAGACAAATGACACGACTTACCTCACCTTTATGTTCTCGATCACTTAATTAGTTTTTAATTTTTGTGATAAGTATTCGATTTTGTAGTTTAATCTATCAAATATTAGCCTACACAAAAAAAAATTTCTTCTTTTTTGGAAATGGGCTAAAAGCTCAGTGCACCTACTAAAGTAGTTAGTTTTTAATAAATAAAATAAAAACATGTCCTTAAAAAACATACTTAAAAAACCTTTTTTTAAAAGTATAAGCAAAAAATAATTTAAATAAACGAAAGAAAATAATACAAGCTGTGTTAAACAAAGAAGTTAATACCGTTTCGTACTGGCCGGTATGGCCGGTATGTACCGGATTTTTCAATGCACCGAAACGGTATGAAGCTTAATTTCGTTTCGGTCAAATTTCGCTCATTTCGGTCAAATCTCGATATTCCGCCCGGTATTCCGGCGTACCGGCAATGTTGACAACCACTTCAAATTTTTTTGAAGAAGAGAGATCCTCCCTTTTTGGTGGCTGCCGAACCCCTCTCCTTACCGATGATGAAGGTGGAGGCAGTGATGATGATGAGACGCAAGAAGATGTCAAGGTCAGAGTCCCAAGGGGCTTCCGACTAGATCTATATTGTCTTCTTGGTGATTGGTGAGATGAGCGTGACGATTAGCTAGCAAGAGGATGGTGAAGGTCGGAGGTGAAGGAATAGGGGTGATGGTGGCCATGGAAGATCTACA